TTCCCTCGCCTCGGGACTACACTCCTCTGGCTGCACCTCTTCCCTCTGGCTCCGTTGGGCTCCTCGCTTCCTCCAGCTCCACCTTGGTCCTCTGTTGCTCCAGCTCCACTGTGGCCATCCGGATCCCCGGCTGCGCCTTGGTCACTGAGCCATCTGCTCCGTCCTGGCTCCTCCCTCTGTCATCACCGCCCTGGTCATCTGCATCTTATAATCTTGTACTGCACTTATATCTGATCAAATTCACATTACTATTCTTTAGCTTGGGTTAAACAAATCAATTTTGTTTGGTTGGAACAGCAGCTATGCTAATTATGTCTCTTATTTGTTTCTCTGTTTCTGCGTAACTAGGATTTACACAAGCTTCAGTCTGGATCCAGAACACCTGAGAAGAGATGATGCCAACCCCTCAGAGGACCTCAGATGATGCCAACCCTGAAACAACATACAGCACTACCAAATTTTGCTATAAGTTTGATTGCAACATATAATAATTGCTGTTACTAGTGTTCATAATCTGTTTGATTAATTCTTTAATTGATTTTTCCGTATATTTGTGCCATATGTACATTTACTGACATAGTCACCACTGATAAGCTACTACTAAATATATTGTAGAAACATATTGTACAGCTGCTTTGCAACGATTTGTATCGTGAATTGAATTGAATCGGCCTGCCTTCCTGCCTGTCCTTCGTTGTCTTCTGTTACTATCCCGACTCCACTCCTTTGTCCACCAAAGTCCCCCTCCGTTCCACCCTTTGTTGTTTCTGCGGTGCGAGGTCGACATGTCACAGTCTGTGTCTTTACTTGTCTTCCCTGTTTGACCTAGTTTACCCTCGTGTCTGATTAGTTCAATCTGTTCACCTGTGTTCGTTTATTATCTCATTAGTTCCCTCTTTTATTTTTTGTATAAGTACTCCCTGTTCTGGGGCCAGTTTCAATAAGGAGGTTTAACCAACTCTGAGTTGAATCTTGAACTCTGAATTGACTTACTCTGAGATGGGAAACTAAGTTTTCGAGCTCAGAACAGCTGAATTGAGTTAGTTCACTTGACACTAAGTAGGTTGTCTCTGGGTGTTTCTCAAACGGAAGGCTGCATCCTGTAAGGGAAACAGGTCAATTTAGCTCAAAGGGAATCATTTAAGATTTTAAAGGGAATTTGGACAGAATCACTGTTTTACAGCTGATCACTGAGACGGCCAGTGAGTCATTGAACGAGCCGTATGACATCAATTCTGCAATGGATATTTATATCCAAAATATAGTGAAAACACTATTAAATTGCATAGTAACAAGATCAGCAGCTTAAGACATTAACTTGTAAGCACAAAACACAAGATACTTCTCTTTTCAATATAAATAAGGCTTTATTGGATAAATCTAAGACATATAAACTAATCTAACACATGAACACGCATTCACACAAGTTGCAGAAAGAGAGAAAGTGAGGAAATAATTAGTTTAAGAGAATGAAAATGTGAAATCCCAAGTTTACAGCAATATGTGCAATTGCATAGATCTGAACAACCATCAATCACTTAATTAACCCTCGCATTGAGTTCCTCAATGAGGTTAAAATTTATATTAAATGCACCAGTTCAGCTAGGATCTGGAGGTACTTGCGTTGCATTGCGTTGCCTGTACGGGGGTTCCCTTTGTTGTCTGGTTGCCGAAAGGGGTTTCCCGCTTTTCTGATTGGCTGGAAGTTCAGTCTTGGGGAAGCCAGTGGTTGGGCGTTGGCTGACGACGCGGAGCTGTGGTCTGAAGTTGAAGTTTAGACGGCACACTTTCGGAGAGGAGGCGTTGGGCAAAACTTAACTCGGAACACACAAAACTCTCAACGGAAAATCAAATAAACTAAAGAAAAGAAATAGAAGTAAAGTTTGACGAGACTAGGTGGCGCTTCTCCTCATGGTTTTGGAGGAGCTGGCGTGTAAACCAGAGCACGCTCAAAAAGCGCAAAAGGTGATGACTGAAAAGCACGCATGGCTAAAAAACATATAACTAAAAAGCCGCATGGCTAAAAAGCATATAACTAAAAAGCATGACTAAAAGCGAAAAGCTAAAAGCTAGACACAAAAATCTAGACAAAAAAAGCACAGTTTAATGGTGTCGTGAGTATTTAAACTGGGCTTTTGGACACCTCCCAAATGGTGTTTTGACCAATTAGATGTCGTCTTTGCTCGGGGTGTTGTATATTTCTCCTCCCCATTCAATAAATCAAATGTTATCTTATCAGTCACATGGTCCACGTTTTTCCCGCTCTTGCAGAGTATAATTTTGGACATGATTTCTATAACAAGAATATGATACATTTGACAAAGAATTGATTGGAAGAAACGTTTCGAGCATGAAGATTCAAACACACACATACCAACCATGAATACGAACCCTTAAGCTATTCAATAGTTATAAAAAAGACATACACAATACGTGATTAAAACATGATAGTTAAACGT